GATTCCGCGCGACGTGAACTCCAATCGACTGGAGTAGAAAGTAGGTGTGCACTGTTGGGTGCATTTGGCCTCGTGCGAATCCCCGCCCATCTACTTGTATCGATTGCCAAGAGATGGCTCACGTGACACGTTCTCGATTTTCCACGATATCTCTGCTCTAATTGTAAACGATTGCTATGAAGATGTCATAAACTTCACGTTCGATCTTCAGAAGGTCGATGAACGTGATAAACGTCAAACCGAATTTCCACCTCGTGAATGCCGGGTCGGTCAAGGTGTGATCGAGGTCTGGTCAAGGTCGACCTTGGACACTTGTTTTCATGAAAATTCCATTGGACACAAATGATATCAAAGGGCATTAAAAGGGCCTGAAGATGACACTAATTTCATCTCTCACCGTTCACTAAAACAAAACTCATGGATACTCGAGTGGGCGCCACCGGACTCATTCTTCGGTACCTGTTTGCAATATTCAAATCGCAGTACTCGAAGAAACTTTCGACTGAGGATGCTGAAATCAAGCGTGGATTAGTTTCTCAGATGAAGGTAGGGAAGGTCACCAGAATGTCGAGGTTGCGCCGACGGCCAGTTTCGTCGAAGGGGGACGGGGCTTCGGCATCGCATCGTTGTGACGTCATCACGGGAAGGTCTTCTCCGATGGATCGGCGAGAGTGAGGCGAAAACGCAGCGGCGTGTGAACGGCACCCGACCGCATCGTGCTTGGAGCCGATGGGTGTCCTCGTTCGAACGAAGCGAAGAATGGCTTCTTTAAAAATGTCCTTCGATTCCGAATCGCATCTTTCTCTCGCCGGATATCGTCCTCGTGGAGTGCTGATAACTCTCGTTCCAAAATCATGGCATCTTCGAGCCATTTTTGGGATGGTTGGATCGAGCGACGGCGGCCGATTCTTTGGATCCAGGAATCAATTTCTGGGCCGTGAACCGGTCGGGAGACTCAACTTTGAACTTTCGCCGCGATCTCGAATGCCACGCGTCCTGCCACGTATTTGAGTGGTTTTCGCGTTCCAAGATGCCCGTGTGATCGGGCGAGACGGAAACCGGTATGCCTTTCTCGCGAATCTCGATGGAACCAGGCTGTGGCTAGAGTCGAAGAACGAGAAACGTGGGAAGCCGGCTTCTTCGGAGAACTCGTACGAACGAGGATCCCCTTCTTAAGGCGGCGGAAGAGAATTCATTCCACTCGCTCTCGTGTCGTTGCATGTGATGCATTCGATCGAGCGCGGAGCTCGTTCGTGAGTCCTCGCGCCATATCCAAACCGCATGGGCTTCCCCTCGTCGACAGGTGTTCTTCGATCCAAAACATGGAAGTACGAGTCCACCGGGTGAATAAAATTCGCCTTTGCATACTCCCCTACGTCAAGATTAGAGAGGACTAGAGAATTTCCTTCGTCCGCGTCAGTCTGGTCCCATTCGAGCTCGAATCGAAGGGGAGGGGGGGGGACCAAGGAGTTAGGGAATATTTTCTGGATCCGTCTGAATCTTGGGGGTGCACAGTGGGACGAAGTATGGGACGAAGTCGTGCTTTCCTGGCCGACATTCAAACTTTTGCATCGTATGCAAGTTTCATTGCCCTAAAGTTCCATAAAATCCATATTATATAAAAATGAAGGTTTTGTGTCCCATACAGAATTACCGTCTGAAGAGCCCTCAGACGGTAATTCAAAGACATAAAGTCTCGACCGTGCAATCCAGCAATCCATGCATGCGATTTCGAAAGCCCATAATTGCAGAGCAGATTCCTGCATGAATCCATCCAAATGATCCTTTTATTTAAGCATTGAACCAATAAATATGCGTACTCGAGCAGGTTTTGTCATCGATGCTGATTCTATTTTTACATCTATAATCGTGTGTGACATGGGATCCTTAGAAACGAATTTGTTTGCACGCATCGATCCTTGGGACGATTCACGAAAGTAATCATGAACAATCAGGGAAGTACATTTGTGTGCTTCATGTTTTGCTGACCAACCGATGCGACACTCGATCCACTCGAGCCCAACGTTTTTCACTGGCCTTGGACATCCATACATGCGTCATTCCGATGCATAGGCTTTGGAGTTGAGCAAAAAAGGTCAGACTCGAATGGAAAACATTTTACGTCTCGCTCTTATCGTCAAAGTAGCCAGTAGCAGCAGCTAGTTTTCACACGGCTGCTAAAATACAAACGTTAGATTCCCGTCATTCCCAAATCTTCATCGCGTTCGATCGGCTATTTTTTGCGGTGCCCAAAGAATATGAAATATCGATGATCGAAGAAATATAGAGCCCACACCTATATTAACACTTTTAGTGCCGGAGTCGATTAGATCGACGCTACGAATTTCGTTTTAAAATGTCAGGTCGAAGAACTGGCACTAGATGGGTTGAAGTGAGAGGATGAACGCGATCGAGCACTCTGGCGAAATACGGGGTGGTCCACAATTGCCTCCCCAAAAGTAAAAGCTTATTACTCAGGAAGTATACATTCGATTTCATCGACATATGACTCAAGCGATAGCCAATTCAATATATTTTTATTGTGAAATATTTCAGCATTCCATAAGGAACTAGGAGAAAGTTATATCCTTACAAATGAAAGCCGCCAAATCATTAGTGTTAAATATGACTTTCACAATTTTCAATGACCTGGTGCAGTCTCTCTTTGAATGTCAGCAGAACTATTTCAATAATCTCTGGTCCTACTATGGCGAAGGCATCTCTAATGACCTGTTTCAGTATATCTAGGTCGTCATAGGTCCGCCGATGAATCTCTTCAGGTTCAGAAACCTCTTATGAATTGTCTTCATGATCTTCTCAACTGGAACTGAGGCATTTGGACCCAAACCGAAGAAATTTCAAAATTTTCCCCACAGAAATTTGCTCTCTTCAAATCATCAAGCCAAATGGCAATATTTGTCTTCTGCAGGAAGAATGAATTGCGAGACTCGAGAGGGAATTGTGAATTTCAAAAGGATTGTGATATTTACAGGTTTTAGCTGCACGATATGTGTAGTTTCATTTATTATGGTGTAATTTCGTTCTAGTTTCTTATGGAATGGTGACATTTTCCACAATAAAAATATATTGAATCATTTTTGAAAAAAAAATATATTGAATATATCGTTTGAGTCACATATAATTCAAATTGGATGTGTACTTCCTGAGTAATAAGCTTTTACTTTTGGGGAGGCAATTGTGGACCACCCTGTACGTTTCTTAATGCTTTTGTTGACAACTCTTGGACTCTGCCACTTTTAAAAGAAATTCGTAGCATCGATCTAATCGATTCCGAGACCATAAGAGTTAATTTGAATGAGAACGCGATATCGTATTATCACAGAAGGCTCAATCAAGTCCATTTAGACTATCACGGCTTTTTTCTTCCAACACGGTGGTTTTTTTTTTAACTCTTTCAGATCTGAATTAAGACCATTATCGGAATAATATTCTTTTTTTGCATTTTTGAGCTCTCTTCCTATTCTACTTAACATTTTTATGTTTATATATCGTTTTTAGATTTTGTTCAAATTTACCATATCATACCATATATCATATATTATAAATGTAATTACATAACTGAAGATTACAAACCTGACGGGTGAGAGAAGGCCTCCGACGGAATTGAGCCATGCTTAATTGAGTCCATTGTAGTGTAAAGTTGGCGCAAAGTCACGAGAATCCCAAGAAATTCCCATAGAAACAATGAAAATGCAATGTCCATTGGAATGGACGCGAGGTCTGAAAGGGTTAACCTGAACAAATCACGGCATGGATGGTTTCTCAGAGTTTATTGCGCTTTCACAGCCTCACGTTGGAAATGGAATTTTTATTTTAATTAATTGGAGTTTTCCTAAGCTTGTTTTGTTGGTGACTAGTGGGTTGAGTATGAGGATCGTGCAAGATAACTGGACTTTTTGAATTTGGGCCAGGAAAGTGCGTCTTCGTCCCAATGTGGGCCGGGGAAGATCGACCCTGTCACCTGTCACCGCCCGTCACCCTTCCCCCTAATCATAAGACGGAGGGCGGCCGCCCTCGTTTGTTGCACCATGCGAATCATCCCTTCGGCGTGAACAGGTTTTCGTATGCGGAGGGAAGATAGGCGCCGGACGTCACCGGATCTTCGCGATCTTATCGTTTCGGTCACCTGACATTTCGAAGCTTTCCTTCTCTCGGCTCTCTCGACCCACGACACGAACGGGCGCCCCTGGGTTCTGGCATCTCGAGCGTTGCCAAGGGCGGACCTGGAGTCCCATTTCTCCGTTTTTATTTACTTCCACGATGGAGATAATTAACCACATCGAGGACCTACAAGCAATTTGCTTTCCTTCGCAGGAGTAAGACTGCTCTAGAGATAAATGCGAGAGATAGGGTTTTCTCACACCACCGTTTAGCATTTATTTTGACTCATCAAAAAGGAAATGGGATGGGAGAATATAAACAGACCATACCTTGTGGTCGAACAGAGGAGACTCTGGGTTTTACGGAAAGGTTAATGAGTTTGTATTCCAGGGCATATTGTAAGAAAAAATCAGAACTGTACAAATGATTATAACTCCTCTGTAGGAATGGTTGGTACGGCGATATACCCGATGTCCCCCCCGCACGGAGCGCAAAAATGTGGGGAGAAAAATTAGATTTACCATCATTTTTAAGTCAAATTTTTGTTTCAAATGTAATTCTTGCCCAGGCTGGAACTGCACAAATTCCAATTCAGAACTGCACATATCTGTTACAACTCCACATTAAAATATGCCCTGTTGTATTCCATCGTTTGAGAGAAAAACCTCGTCGCACTGGAATTTACCAATCCTACTTCCAGATGACTAAAAAATAATGCTTTTTTGCAAGGAGAAGAGGCCCAAAACAACCAGTTCTAAGATGATGCCAGAAATCTTATACGGTGTTTCACTTGATTTAGTCCCTTGTGCATGGGATGTTACGCTTGGGTGTCTGACTCAAGTGATAATTGCTGTAGTACCTCCAGTGGCTCACCACTGATGGAGCGAAGGGGAAAGGAGGGCGAGGGAAAGATGGCGTCGACCATGGACCTCGTGCTCTCGAGGTCCGCATGGAGAGAAACCATCCTTCAGAGGCTCAGCGACAGGAATAGGCACGAGACACTCCCTTTCCTCGACTTGATCGCTTCTTGTGAGTCGTCGGCTTACGATATATGAATACTGTGCTACTCCCTCCGATTCTTTCACCAACCGGTGGACGTCAGATGCAGGCCTGGCGAAGGGTTTATCCAATTCTAACGTTTGTGATGGACCTAGGACTAACGCTCTGGCTAACATTGTTCATCGGCTAGGGAATGGGAACTTTCTGTTATGACTCCATTTTCCATACTAAAATCTGATGATGGACAGCATCAACAACTCCATATTATGTCTATAAATATGCCTATCACAATGACCATTGTTCTACCAAACCAGGGGCACGAGAATACCTGGTTAGATGACTCTACTGTTTGAAGTGGGCTTCATTACATCTTCTTGCCTTACAGAACATTGATCAGAGAACTGCTAGCCATGAAGGATAAACTGATTTCCACTTTACAGTGTTTTTTTCAATTGACTTCATATCAAATTTAACATGGAACCCATGCTTTTCTCCAACAGAATTCCTCCACCTTCAATAGCGTTGCTGTCAGTGCTGTGCAAGGAGTAGCAACCAACTTATATAGGACAAACAACTGTGGATTATAGGGATGTTGAGGTTTGAAAGAATGATCTAAGAATGAAGAATAAAGAGGAGTTTTTTATTTGTTTGGTGCAGGTTATTAGTGGTTTAAAAGGTTGGGATTTTAAGCAGAGAAAAATTTTGAGGAGTTCATGAAATAAGAATTGCATAGGATCAAGTATTCAGAGAAGAGAGGGTAGTCCCAAATACCAAAAGGTTAATCATATCATGCAATAAAGTCTCATAGCCATTAGGGGGTCACATATTCCATCGTGACTACAGTTAGTCAGCCATTTTGCTAAGTATGAGGAAACAGCCAAATGAAAGGATGTTATTTTCAAATCCACAATCAAATCCTTGGAGTATCTGATCAAAAGAGGTATGAAGTCAGCACTAAGTGTCATGAATGTTTTGTGCCTGTGAGAATTGAGTTGCTGGCTTCATTTGGGTCACATAATATGTGTCCCTGGCAAAACTTCAGCATCAACTGCTTAAGTAGTGACATTCGTGTCATGGGACGACAACTCCTTATTTACCCCTGTGGAAATACAAAGACAAGCTGTTACCCTAGTAGCACAGAATTTTGAACCTGTATTGGTATGATATGCTGTGCTACTGGTAAAGGCAAAAGGAGGGGAACATTCTTTCCGTCCCTAGTTCCCATACCTCTCCATATTTTCCTATATTTTACTCCAAAACTTGAAAATCCTTTCTCAAACCGAACTATTATACCTTGTAAAAACTGTACCGTAACTCTCCTTGTTTTTGCAGGGTATGGCTATACAGGGTGTCTCATAATTTTTTTTTCTTCACAATAATGCCTTGGGATCTAACTCAAATGGAAATTGCTTCAAATGTATGCTAGAAGGTGTGCTAATTTAGGGCGATTTATAGTACACATTTTGAATTCTCTTCTACAAAATTGCTAAATTTCTGCTTTTCTCTCCTAATATCAGATAAACTTGGGAAATATAAAAAAAAATTACATTTAATTTATTTTGCTTTAGCTCTCATGAGAAATGACTTAACAAATAACACTGGAAAAGCAAAGAAAAGTTGCCACTTGGATGGAGGTCTTTGAGAGTCTCATCAGAGTTATGAGGAAATTTTGGTGTTTTTTTTTATTCTGAGCCTTGTGCCAAATGTATTGGTAAAGGTGGAGGGCATTTTGAGGCAATTTCAAAACTCAGAAATACCTCATTTTAAGATAATTCCAAATGACATGCTATCATTCAGTTAATGTAAGTTCTTTTTTGTGTCAACTGCTTAGTAGATTTGATTTTTTGATATGGTATAGTGACTTATGAGACACCCTGTGTTTATGGCATGGTCAATGTGTGTTCCTTTATGAAGGTGATGTTGCCCATTATTGAGTGGCAGTAGGTTTTAGGCATGGGTCTCAACTTCTTAATGATATGAAGAAAACTGTCCCCATTTGTGGCATTCACCCTCAACATGTATTAGAAAATCCCTCAGATGGCATCAACATGAGGAGGGACACATTTTCCTGCTCAAATCCTGCAAGTTGTTTGCCTGAATCAGATGAGTTACTGTTGATGACAAAGAGAGGTGGACATTTACATTTGCATACTCTAGAAGGAAAAATACGTTTTAATGTTCTACTTTTTGGTTTTGTTCTTGCCAGACCTTGGGTAGATGTTTAGATTGTGAGCTTTCATCAATGGAAACAAAAATAGCCCTCTTAGCACCCTCAAGGTGCTAAGGTATTCTACAACAAAATTGTATCTGTAAAAGAATAGGCCAATGAATTCATTGATTTATGAATCACTCATTCCATGTCATTTTCATCTGTCTTGGTAGCTCCTGGATTTTTGGACATGTCCCATCTTTTTATGTGACTTTTTCTTTCCCCAACACTCAATGAATTGTATTCATTTGAATTCTCAAGTTTTTTCCAACTGTACCGTGACCATTTTCAATATTTTCATTGAAAACACTGATCAAGCATGCTTGATCAGCACTTTCACATATAGGTTTCTTGGATTTTCTGTCACTATCATCAATCTCAGCTCATGGGATAATATACTGAAAATCTGCATGTTCATGTTAGCTAAGACAATTAATTTTCTAAAGGTAATGCAGAAGAAAAATGGCTTGAACTAAAATTTATTTTGATGAGTGTTTGGATATAATTGCTCATGCATATTTAAAGAGTTAAAATGGTGATGGTATAGGAGTGGCTCAGGTTAGAGCTTTTAGATCAATTTATGTTGTAAAAATTGATTTTATGGGGGGAAAAGGGATCTGCAATCGTCGAATAACCACACGGGTCAAGCGCAACGTCGATTTTATTAAAAATTGCCCATGATGATATCGTGCACAGCTTTAATGTTTTCCCCCGTTGTGGCTGAGACAGGACGTCCATTGTGGGGTTCGTCTTCCAAGCTCTCTCTTCCTCGTTTGATATTTGCTACCCACTTTTTCACAGTCGAATAACTCGGTGCATCATTTCCCAACGTCTGCTGCGTATCCGCGTGGATGTCTTTCGCACTTAAGCCCTTGAGAAAAAGGTATCGAATTACGATGCTCAAATTTCTCCATGCCGACCGACGGCTACGCACGAGCACTCGCAATGATTTGTTGAAAATGAACCGCTAAGAGTATTGTCATGAAACTGTGCACACATAATCACAAGATGTTAAGCTACAACGTATATAAACGACACTCCCCTTGCCTATCCCCTTCCTACTTAGGCCGATACATTTTTAGTCCCCCCCTCAAACTTGTAGGCAGTGAACTCTCGAGAACTCGAAGTTACTTAATTTTCCGGCCATAGTCTCGTCAGGACGATGCATTTTCTCCCTCAATATCTCGAACTGCGCCAGGACAAATTTCCCGATAGCTCTAAATTTATTGCTCTGCTTTTGCGCTTTTGCTATTTTTCCTGTTCAAGTACACCGGCGAACGTAACATGGATCTAACCACACTTCCTGCAGACCCGGTTGGTTATCCTAAGAATGCGATGATTCACGTCTTCGATTTCCTCTCAGATCAGTTGGGAAAGTGAAGGCTGCGAATAGTCACGAGGTTTTTGCGCCTACACCTTATCAGTACTACACCCTACTGTCGACCAGTCAGTGTTAGTGAACCTCGCCGTCAGCCATGGCTACAATCTATTACGGTTGAAATTTTGCGAAGCTTTGTTTTGTATTCATACATGTTTTGTAACACTATATACATGTATGTCCAATAGAATCCATAACTCGAGTTTTCGTTAACTCAAATTTCCCTGAACGTCGAGAGTTGACTGTATTTGGTGCATTGTTATGCAGTGAAGATGTTAAAGCTAGGGCATGGTTATGATTAATCAATCAGTTAATCATTGTTTCGAATTTAATCATTAATTAATCAAAAATATTTTAAGAAAATGTTGAAAAATAATTAAATTTCCCATAGTTTCAGCATCATGAATCATTGATGATCAGCATCATTTTGCCATGAATTTTGTTATCTGGCACTTGAATTTGTACCAACAATTTACTCGGTGCACTTGCCAGAACAGTTCCCCCACTCATACCTCGTATTTGATTATTAGCTTGCTTTGAATTTCCCGCTTAAATGTTATTCGTTTGCAGTTAGTGGTTGCAACTCGCAAGCTGCAGATAAGTGGGTGGGTGTGTTCAAGATTCTCATGTGATTTCTGTGAAATATATTTACTTAATTGTACTCTTGAATTGTACTGCATTAAATTAATCAAGCGCAGTGCTATATTCTCATTGGTTACTTTTTAGTATAGGTTAGTAGGATATAGATAGATTGGCCTAGCCTAAGTAGAGGAACTTTGGCCTCAGGTAATTGGTTATTGCTAGGCTATTGACAAGCTGTGTTTCTTCGGACTTATCTCATGCAACATAAACAATAAAGCTCTTTTTTTCCCCTTTTCAGAAGTATTTAATTTTTGATCAGTTAATCATTGATTAGACATTTTCATCATTCATCACTTTAAAAAAAAAAAGATGAATTAACCATGCTCTAGTTAAAGCCCAAGCCCAATACAACCATAAAACCAGTAATATTCCATATAATCCGTGACTACTCCCTTTGCATGCCACAACTCCATTTAAAGCGGGCCAAAGTGGAAAAAGTCTGAAGGTTTTTCCTGGTTGTGTATACTGGGCCTGAAACGTTTCTCTCTCGGTGTACGCTGGTGGGCCGCGGACCACGAGTTTGAGACCCCTGCTCTATTGAATATAAAGGACCACTTGGCAAAATGCAGGCCTAACCATTCTCATTCAGTCTCGTGTCTGCCTTTCCGAGTGAAAGATATGATGTATAGAATGTACGTGTGTGTGTATTTTTTTTCAGACAATCAAGTGTACCAGAGTACTGACATTCTGAAGGTTGAAAATCTTCAACTGAAAATCCAGAACGATAAACTGAGAGGGGAAAATCTGGAATATCAGAGACGCGGTAGTGTCACCTGCGATGGACCTCCAAATGAACGCGTTCAGGTACAGATCTTGACGTCTCTCCTAGCCCGCTTTCATTTCTCAAGTTAGATGCACAATTTTTCCCCAGCCCTCTTTATCCCAATGTGACTTCAAAGTAAAAGCCGATACTTTGAAGTCGCCCGTGTTATCAAGATGATGTGTGTGCCAGATTTGTAGTCCATTGTGAATTCAAAGTAACGTACTGCTCTGTAAGTGTGCCTATTCTTGAAAAAAAAATTAACACGAGAAAAAGCTTTTTTATTTTTCCATTTATTTCCAAAGAATGTTTGCAAATTAATTTTTTTTCCTTCCAGAAATTAATTTGGATGATGCAAGGTTAATGAAATTGTTTCAAGTAGAATTATACCGCATTCAAGTTAATTACATTATTTAATGCATTATTTTGTCTGACATCAATGATAGGTTCAGACTAACACGAGTTGAGGTGCATGGTCTTCCCGTGACTTAATCGGTGATGATGCGAGGCATCCAATGTAGTCCTGGCCGATGCAGTAAAGTTTCACCATGCATGTATTGCAGGTGCTGGAGCAGAAGCGATTACAGCTTCAGGAGGAAGTGGTTGACCTTCACCGGAAGATGGGCGAATATTCCCAGCAAGTCCTTGATGTCACCGCCAGGCTCCAAGAAAGGGATACGGAGCTCGAACACAAACGCAAGAGGCAAGTTCTTGCCCCTTCTTTCATTCTGTTGGGGATTTTGCGACAGAGAATGACTCGAACTACCACCCGTTAATGTCAGGAGCGGAATTGGGGCGGTTGGGTTGAGAGGAATCATGACATCGGATTTCTGTCCGTTCCAAAATTACGCAGGCTTCTCATATCATATTCTGCCCGAGATTATTAGTTTCTTGCATCCTTTCGGCAAATAATAATTCATATTTTACAAGCTTGTGATTCAGTCTCTGCTGCAACGATTACGTCAGATGATAGCATGGGGCATCTTGCCGCGCTTACGTTTATTTTCCAATAGAACTCATGTGCGCTTCCTTCCGACCTTTACCCGCGCAAAAGTCGGTACGGAGACCGTTTTTGTCTCGGTATCATAGCGTCATAAGCTGGCTTGAATAAAACGCTGGCAGAAAATATAATATGCGCGTTTTTTTTTTTATAACTCCCCCCCCCCTTTATTTGCCACAATCGGCATCGGTACCGGACCAAGTATGAGATCGTTGGCTATTGGCCCGTCAGCCTAAGACTGCCATCGGTGCAGCCCAAATTTTTATTACCTAGAATTTTCTGAACGTAAGACGTGGCCTTCATTTTAGGATTTTGATTCTGAACTTGTTTCAAGTGCCAAGTGATGGAAATTTGAATGAAGCTGGATACCAGTGAAGACATTTCATTCTAAGGAACCTCTGATGGCCCTCCGTCTCTGAACGCTCACCAACCCTGAAAAATACATGCATATACAGTGCAGAGTTTTCTCCCTCCGGTTTTTTCAGGGTCTTGGAGCTAGAGGGGGAGATCGATGGGCTGAAGCGGGAGGGATTCCATCTGAGAGCAACCATCGAAGAGCTGGAGGCAACCAATCAAATGCTCAAGGACGAACATCAGGCCCTGCAGCTCGCCTTCGCTGCCCTCGAGGAGAAATATCGCAGAGTCCAGGTTTGACGCCCTATCGTACGCCCCGGTCAAAGTAGCATCACCTGTAGGATCTGTGTCTTTCACCTCTGACTGCTTTCGTATGCCCCGATGTGGCCTTCGTTTCGCATCCACTCCACGGATTCGTTCGAGTCGGCGCTTAGAACGTACAATAGAGCTGTACGGTATTTCCTTCCGAACGAAACCGCATCGCCTGCCCACGATATCGCGATACAGGTGACTCTCGTTATACGCGCTTTCGTTATCCGCGGTTTCATTTCGGTCCATGGAGACTATCCCTATATCATTATCCCTATAGCCGCCCACTATCCCACTAGCCTCCCGTTTTACGCGTTTTCGATATGCGCGGCGATTCTCGGGAACGCAACCCCCGCGTATAACGAGAGTCACCTGTATTTGGATTTTATCGTAACAGAGTTTGGGGGTAGCGCCTACGAAATCGCAGCTCCCGATTGCTTTCATTGCTCCTGACCCAGTGCTTGGAATCCATTTCATCTTCGAAGAGAGGATGACGAGAGGGAGAAGTTTTCGCAATATATTTTCTTTTATCGCCTGAAAGACTGAATAAATGAGAGAGACCTCCCTCGACGTCCTCTGCGTTCTCCCCAAGTCCTTTCAGTCGCCATGGAATGTTTCCGATATTCGTTTCCGAATATATTTTTTTCAGGTAGAATATCGAGGTCGAGTCGAGTATACGTTAAGGCGGTCATTCCGACCTTAAGGTTTGTGTGTTCGTGAGGTGAAGGTATGAATTCCTTCAGGATTCTGTCGTTTTACTCTATTTCTGAGCCGAGGAGTAGGTTATTAGCGTTTCTCAACCGAGGATTCGTCAAACCTTGTCCAGAGAGAAAGGAAAAAAGTAACGGAGAAGAATAAAATAATAAAAGTATGAAGGTGCACGTTTGTTGAGAGTGTGTGTGGGTTTGGCTGGAAGTAAAACCTGCAATAATGCACCCCTACAGATGTTTGTCTTTTCTCCTAATATGTTGATTGTTACCTGATTTTGAAGCTGGTATACATATCTTGAGCCTGTAAAAATAAAAAAGCTCCTAACTGTGAAATGTCACGCATCTCCTGAAGGAAGATGTCGTGGGCCTGAAATAGCGCTTTCCCTGAATAACTCTATACCTAAATTGCCCGGAAACACCAAGAAGAAAACTCTAGTAAGATTTGAAAGCTTCGCTTTCTTCTCACGCAATTGAGATAATATAAATCTCTTAATTCCTTTCCTCGTGCGGAGCAACAACTCGGGATCAGAAACTATATTGCAGCGACAAAATTTCCAGTATATTTAATTTCGCGATCTGGACCATTCCGTATTTATGGGTCTGTTTGGTTCGTCTCCATCCGATAGTTTTAAAGATGCATTGGAAACCTCTCCTATTGCGAAAGCCATCCATGGATCTGGTGTGTAAAAGGAAGCATGAAATCGCGAAGATAGATTTTTTTTTTCCTGAATGCGTTTAATGGTCCAGGTGGTTGAAGCTTTCAATTCTATCGATGCAGCACTTTGGAAACAGTTCGTGGCCCGTCTTCAATTATCAATGTTGGGGAGCTAATAAGTGATCGAGAACGTTCGGCCTCTCACTCTCACTCGATGGATCATGAGTTGAACTCTCGTGAAGAAGATTGTGAGTTTATGGGGCTCGATGGGAGCTGTGCGTCGCGAGGGAAAAGTTTCCTTCGCCCGTGATCTGCTCTGCTTGGCAATCGTGTTGTCGGTTTCTCTGTCGTGGCACCAATTAATCCGTCGACGATACCGCCAGGGTTTTAGAATGTTTCATTTCGTGCACGATGGCATGCGATAAAAACTTTACTGTGTATTCGAGGCATTTTAGGACTCGGCCCATAAGCTGTCACAATATTAAATAGGTCGAATTTTGGGTATATTTTAACGGACCCTGCATTATAAATTAGCGTTACCAGGATATGTGAGCCAAAATTCCTCCTATGGAATAGAGGTCGCAAAACATGTCTAGTCCATCTCAATCTACAAAAAATTAAACCGATAAGAGCTGGGAAGCATTCATATCGAGTGCCTTCAAAATAGGATGGTGGTAATTGATGTAGTGTCCTTCAGCCGATTTTTTAAATACCCATCTAATAATTTTTCAAAACCAACTTAAGTAGTTTACAACTTCATGCGATATCGAAGGGACCCCGCGTGATTGCCATACATTCCAAAAGGGGTCCACATGGTAAGAAAAGGTTGAGAAACGCTGTTCTTTACCGAACTGACAATGATGATTCGCAGAGAAAGAGCGAGGAGGCTCTCGTTTACGGTACTCCGATCCTGCCGAATGACGACCGTTATCGGCCGCATCGAAATCGGAATGGAATCGAGATAGCGATGAGTCCACGACAGAGTATGAAGCTGCAGATGGGAAACGCGCTGTCATCGGCATCATCCCCATCAGCCAAAGTGGGTGCCTTGCCGTCGGCGCCAGCCGATCCGGCTCGCACTCGCAAGGTTTTTCGAAAGGTGCTTCCCAAAATTTGAAAACTTTCCGGGAAAAGAATTGTCACTGGAGGGATCCATGGCAGCATTATTAATGTAAAAAAAAAAGGTCATGCGGCCCGCGGGAGGTCCCATAGTGGCAATGCGGATCAGTTGGGCAAAAAAGTTGGGCTCTTTTGTTGGGCTTTTGTTCTACTTTTTTGCATGTATTATGAAAATGTGGCAGGAAAATGTCTTCTGTCAATTATAATTTACTTTGAATTTTTAAGCATATTTAACTCTGAAATTTTTCGCGGGAAGCAATGGTCTGCGAGATGCAGGTTTGATGCCATTTGGCATCTTTTGGCAAAATACGCACTCAAATAATTGTTCCTTATTCCTGTTCTCAATTTTGCTTTGATGCCAATTGGCATCATTATGAAATAGAGGGTTAAAGCCGTTTCAGATGCAGCTATTTTTGAGAATTCCGATTGAAGCCACAACAATGGAAGGGTGTGAAACTGGAAAAGAATAACGAGAAAAGCGAGAAAGCAAGTGAGAACGGGGTAGCTTCTGGGACGATCTTTTCATTTTAGAATCCATATAGCTGCATTCTGAGACCAGGTTGCGGTTATATGTGGTTATTTGGATTTTGTTTGTGTGTGTGTGCTACATAACATTAGAACCTGTGTCTGAAGACTCACAGATACAAACAGTACTAGAACATCTTTCTCTCTGAACATCTCTCAGTCTCTCTGAAGAAACTTATGTATTTTTATGTATTCTTGACACTGATGGAGTGCATATTGAACAGTTGCTATGTTTAGTGAGATATTAAGTCCCGGTGCTTTCCGTGATTACATGTGATAAATATGGCATCTTTGAGCGCATGGTCCTTGCAACACCCCTGTGCAATTTCAGCCTCCTATATCTTACCATTTCTGAGATATTATGCATTAGTTTCTTTATAATCACCATGTATTTCTTGGAACTGAGCTTGACTCGGGGAAATTCCCCACTCCATTCATTTCTATGTAAAAAAAAAAAAAAAAAGGAAGCATTTTGTTTGGCAAGCTTTCAGTCTTGGAAGCAAACCTCCCCTTAGCTGGCATGTTGATTCACCCTTGCTTAAATCAGAAATTTGGTAAATCTTGTTTTAAACCTGCAAGCTAAAAAATGCCAGTTAATGCAGAAATGCAAGCGTGGCTTGTGTTCTGGAAGCTGCAGATGGAAATGGTTTGTGTTTTCAATGTTGAAAAATGATTTATCCCTGTTCAGGAAGAAAACACTGAGTTGGTTGAGAGATGGATGAAGTTGAAGTCCATCGATGCTGATCGTCTGAATGAGGAGAATGAGACAATTGCCAAGTATGTTTGAATTCCTTCATCTTTAGTTTAATGCTTTTAACTACTTCAGGGGTACTGGCAAAAATGTGGATGTTTGATTCAATGCATTTTAAATTGGTCAAAAACTGATCCCCAACTGCTCAGATGTCACAGACGTTGCAAATTTGCTTTTTAGGCTTATATTTCTCTATGAATTTCTAGAATGGTATTTTTTGTATATTTTTATGGTGAGAATATATCGATACATCTTAACACCTGCAATATTTTTTAATATATTTTTTTCTGCATAAAAAAATTAATCCCTTAAGAGGTTAAATTAGACCCTACTGGTATTTGTTTTTTTTAATTATAAATGTATTAATATCAATGCACATGTTATCAGTGATTTGAGTCCCCTAGCACTTCACATGTGACAGTCCCTTTCTTTGCTTGCACCTTAGAATACAGGGTGTCCATAAAGTCCCAATCTATTTTATTGAAAAACTCAAAATCCTTATAAAATTCATGTTATAAAAGGCATCAATTGCAGTTATGTATTAATTTGGAAGGTGCTTATGTCAGCAAAAAAATTTAATTACTGGTTTTTTAACTACTATCACCAGCTTAACTTACTCGTTATTAAGAAAATGAAATGCACAATATGCATTTTTGTAAGTATTTTGAGTTTTCAATAAAATTAGATTGGGACTTTATGGACACCCTGTATAAATCAGGCCAATAAATACAATTGAGTTACCCCTCCTATCAGAAGAAGTGGCTGTCCTGGAGAAAGTGTTATGAACTGAGAGTAGATAGAAAGAATGACTTTAAAAGGGCCAATACAAACCATAAACCAATGTCTGATTTATGCGAAGAAATTGAGTTCTACCCACGTAAAAATTCCATGTAGACAGGGTGTATGATTCTGTATGGTCATGTATGATCATATATTTGCCATATACCACCATATATGTATTAATATATTAACAATTGTATGGTGCATAATATATTTTACCTGCATTGCAATATTATGTGTGATGGGCAAATGGCATAATGCCTGATATGTAGTGAATATGCATAGACAAGTCTTATGGTTGTAAGTAAAATATGGTGCATAATATATTTTACCTGCATTGCAATATTATGTGTGATGGGCAAATGGCATCATGCCTGATATGTGGTGAATATTCATAGACAAGTCTTATGGTTGTAAGTAAAACATAGCATGAAGTCAGTGGTGTATTTTGGCTGAAGAGTCAGGGGGGACAGGGCAGCAGAATGGAGGTACCAAGCCCTGTCCCAGGGAAGCCAGGGGGGCAGCCACCCTCCCCTGCTCCCTCCCTAAAAATACGCCACTGCATGAGGTTGTTACACGTGAGGGCATTTGACCTTCAGATGCCTCTGAAGGTCAAGATTTTACATGAAATATTAAGTATGCATAACCGTTAAAGTAATGTGCCAAAAGTTTGATTTTGAACCCCCCCGCTGAAAATCCTTGTTGGAAACAGCTATAATTTCCAGCTGTACCTCAGTTGGAAATTCAGACCCATTCCAACTGGGTAGCAGCTGGAAAGTAAAGTCAGATCCAGATTGTTCCTAATTGCAATACACTGGTAGAATGAGAATGTTTTTGTTGGTTATTCTTGCTGGAGGTCCATCTACAGAAGCAGGTGAATTTCAACTGTAAATTCAGCTGCATTTCAACTGGAGGGTCCTCTGCATAAAATTCTAATGGTAAATTTCCAGCTGTAAAACAACCTGTATCTACCATTTTTTTTTAGCTCTTTGCCAGCTGGAAATGGTCAGAATATACAGCTTCTGTCCACCTCAAAAATTCCAGTCAGGATTTCAAACTGGGTCCTTCCCTCTCTAGGTAGCATAAGCATATTGCAGATTAAAAAAGTGTGGGAGGAGGGGGGCATGGGAACTCTGGGACATTGTTATCACGCATCTTTTCCTTTGTATTAATGGNATGTATGACATGGCACATATGGACAGTATATGGTGCATATGTATGAGCCAATATATGAAAATGTATGGGGTCATATATTTTCACTCTTATATGATTTTATGTGACTTGTGTCAAACCCCATACATGTTTCACATATGTTCATATATGTATATGAACATATGTCCTATATGGTCATATATGCCCCATATATGTTGGACTGGTTAACCCTCGGAACGCCAAGATCGGGTCAAAATGACCCGATGGCCAGTCCTCCAAGGTTCTGTTGGATCGTTTCTTTTTTTGGTATCTACTTGGAAAATAAATACATAAATATCTTAAAAAGGTATGTGTAGCTTCTATTCTGAACAAAACCTCATTCGTTACGAGAAATATATATGGGTAAAAAATGACCCGATCTTGGCGTTTCGCAGGATGGAAATGATCTTGGCGTTCCAAGGGTTAAATATATGACCATTTCATATATGGTCTTATATGAAATTTTCATGTGGGTACCTATGTACCTGCAACCGTCAATATTGATTTCTGATGCAGCATTAACTCCATCACCCATTTCCAGCTTTTCATGCATTCAGAGTCAATGCCCTCCCATGCACAAATAACTTGCATGTATGAATGTGACCTGATGATGAACTTCTGATCTCTCGTTCAAGTAGAGGTTTAGCATAAGTTCCCATCGGCTTACCACTTCCATCCCTCGCATGCCCAACCCTCCATGTTCCAATGTTGCCCATTGAATGAACGCATTCAGCATTGAATGAACTTCACAATAGAAGGACCATCTTCAACATGTTGGCAGACAAGATGGTTGTAGCCGTCATCCTTGTTACTGGGTGCTTTTGATTGGAGGAGGAGGAGGTTGCCAAGGGAGAGGAAGGGATGGGACTTTCACAATGGCAAATAAAATCTATGCTTCCAGCTATCAATAGTGACATCAATACGTCAATGAATTGTAACAGCCCTAGTTTTTTTTCAGGAGGTAAACTTTATGCCTATCTAATAAATAGAGATACAAAATTCTGCCACATGTCAGTTGAACTTGTTTGAAGCTTCAGCTAAGGAAGTCTGAAGAATATATTGATGTCAGTTTTGTAATCATTGTGACAGGAATAAGCAGCAGGCCATGAAGAAGGAACTGGAAGAAGCAGCCAATGAGCCAAAGAATGTGGACTTAGCAGGCTTCCAGCTGGATCTCCCAATCACATGTGGCATCCTTGCTGTCCCCTCCTACCCGATTGCCTCCCTTGTCTGTTACTTCCTCCTCACGTCTCCCTCTGATTCTCTCCTCCTTCGATTGTCACTTGCGATAATGTTATATTTTTTAGGACTCGCATGAGGGGGAGGTGAATGCTGTGAAATGGAGTCCCTCAGGTCACAACCTTGCCACAGGTGGCTCTGATCGCAAGATCAAAATCTGGGAAGTCTCAAAAGGTATTTCATAAACCCATTTCTCAATCTTCATGCAGCCATATCATGCAGTATGTTTATATTCTGCTGTAGAATTAATTTGTTTACATCTTTCACATGCTAAATGTTAACATCTCATGTTGATTACATCATTTTGTGATATTTTTTTATGGTCCTTATCCTTAATGCATTCATTCCTTCATTTCATCTTCAGTTAAGGTGACTTCATACATGCATTGTCATCAGCACTATATAGGGTGGGGCAAAAGGCAGGGAATTTTTGAAGAATTTAATTTTCAAAGTGACTGCTTGATGGCAGCACATTTCCATATCTCTTTTTCATCAATTTGGCCTAGAAAAGTCCAGTGAAGAGTGCTCCCACTGCATCCACTGAAATTGGCTGCAAATGAACAACCATTGCTCACCTTGAATAAGTATGGCAATTTTGGTGATAATGTGTCATGTTCATGTTGGTTACCTCCATGCTTGCACAATTTTGTCATAATTTCATGGACAACATTTGAAAGCGATTTTTGATTGAATGTTGTGAAATAACAAAAATGGTGCATTAAAGTGAAAAACAAGTGGCGTTGGTGATGATTTACATGAAAGCAGATAACAGTTTACGGCAAGCGACTATGATTACCATGAAAGATACCCAAATTATTTATTAGGCTGCCGATCTACTGCATTTCAGATTTGATAGCAGAATTTCAAACAATGAGCAGAGTTCTTAATGCAAAAAAAAAAATTGCCACTACAGGAGGAGCCAGTCAAACAGCAATTCTCCCCCTTGTGTCTATTGAGCTGCAACAATCAAAGCAAGAACTGTTGTTGAGAACTGTGGGCATTAGTTAAGGTCAATAAGAAAGAAATTTAATTATGAAAATTATGAAAATTCTCCCATAGATTTGATGAAGTTTTTTTATTTTGTTCACCCTATATGGTCTACCCTATATATTGTTTTTTCTCATGTACCCACATTTTGAGTTTCATTCCTGAGAAGGTGCACCTGTTCTAATTCATGCTTCCAAGGTGTCTTGCAACTCTTGTTGATAACAGTTCTTTCCAGAGCACATCCATATAATAAACAATGAAACCCACAATCATTTATTCTATTATTTTTCTCCTTGTGCACTTAACCAGAATGATCTAATACTTCTCACTTCACTCCTTGCCACAATCTCTGAACCTGCCTCATCTGAACAATGTGATACTTGAAACATGTTATTTCTGTCTAAATATTGATTTTCCTTTATATTTAAACTTGATCATAGTTCTCTTGATTAGAATATTGAGAAACAGTATATGCAAATGAAAGTTTGAAGGACAAGTATTAGGTGGTCTGTAGGTCTCAGTTTGACATGCAAGTTTTTTTCATGTGAAAGCTTCAGCTGCCTGAAGAAAATCACAGTCTGCAATTATGTTGTAATCATCATGGTCATGGTAAAAGTAACAATAGTCAAGAAAGGTGATCATATTTAGATGCATTTAGAAAACATTCAATATCTGAAAGATTGTTGAATGCAAGAGAGATTATAGGAAAGTGATGATGATGTATGTATATGGGTTTGGCCTTGTCCTTGCCCTGACATGGAATGGTCTGATGTAGAAGAATGTTAATTGCCATGAATCCATCATGGCAAGAAAAAAAAGTGAATGCTTAAAAAGCAGCTAGCAAGCCAGGCCACACTCTTTCCTCAAGTGCTCAGACTAGCACACACTTTTTTTTTTGAATGATGATAGGTCATTATTGGTGGGTATGTGACTGCTTCTTGAATATTCCTTCCCCTTACACCTCTGCCATCTTGAAAATTGCAGGTTTTTTAATAGGTTTTTTACATTTACAAATGAGCATGTCATCCCTTGTGTGGGAAAACTCTTGAGCACAAGGAACTCTGAAACTGTGTGGATATGTGCTTAGATGACAGGCATGAACTTATAATTTTTCTACCTCTTCCTTCATCTTTATCTTGAGGAATGCACTTTTTTCATCTGTGTAATTGCCCTGTGCCAAAATGGCATGTAGCAGAAGCATTGGGTTGGCACAAATATTTACAAATTATGAGTATGAGCTTGCTTTGTGGTAATTCTCCTACATATCTAGTCGACTGATATGTCATCTTTGCAACAAGAATGCAAGATGTGTGTAAAGCTGAGAAAATTTCATGGACATATGAAGTATAGAGTACAAGTGGTGCAGTTGTTCTCAGAAATTACTTTCTTCTAGATGTTCAAAGGTCTATTAGATGCCCATTATAAAAATCTATGTGCATGATAGAAGTTTGATATGGTAGGATTATCATTGTTATCGCTGTTTTATATAATCAAGTTGACTTTATATTATGCTTACATTTCTTCAGTTTTAGTAGTTTATGTACAATTCCTTGAGAAAAGAAAAAATGACCTTTCACCACTTGTGCTCTACACACTTCATCTGTAAGTTCTTGAGATTTCAATTTGAAGGCACCCCAGCTATCTAAATGGTGGCACAATGGTGTATACCAGTACCTTCTTGCCCTGTAGCCTCTTTTTGCAATCACATGCTCTAGTACCAACCTTGATGCTGTAAATAGGAGGATGATGATATTCATTACATGAACCAAGATTATATGAATTCAAAGACTATGTTATACACAAGGCATAATAATAACTGCAAGTGAAAGGAATGTAAATAGATTCCTTCAGCATCTTCACGGCAGGAGAAACACATAGTACTCACTGCATTTGATGATGACTCCCATGTCCTGGATTCCAGTTTTCTCCTTGCACTGATCTTTTTCAGTCCAACCAATTCCGCTATGCTATTGCACAGTCAAGTTTGATGTCTTTTTTGTTGAGCTACCATTTTGATGCCGTTTGCATTATTTAACCTGCAGCCTATTTAATTTTATTAAATAGGCTTAAATGAATAATTTAAGCCTATTTCTTTGTTGATGTGAGCAATGCCATGTGATGGATAGTCTCGAAAAGCCTGAGCAGAATGCTGTGAGGACTCTTACATGCTAAGGAACCTCTGATGGCCACATCTCATGATTTTTCATCTTTGCAAGTACGTTAAAGTTGATCAAGTTATTAAAGTGGTTTTTTTTTTCGGTTGCCAGTATCGGGGAGTTGCTTGTGCCGTGGCGTGCTGACGGGCAGCAATGCAGCTGTGATGTCTCTCCATTTCAACTCCGAGGAGAATCTTCTTCTCGGAGCATCAAACGATTTTGCATCTCGGGTCTGGTCCTTCAGCGACCAGCGTCTTCGGGTGAGTCTCCTCGAGTGCCGTGCCTTGCCGGCGATCCCCCCTCGGTCTAGGCTTCATTCCGGCCTGATAACTTTGAAGGGGGGATTGCAATTCTGTTTCCGCGTTGGTTTTTATACTCCAACAGCAAGTTCATTATTTCGAAATTCGGAAATAAATGAGGGAGTGCCTTCGACCCAAAAGCGATCTCTACAATCTCGTGATACTTTTATATAGAGACCTACTGTACTTGTTCGAATCACAGATTCTGGATGAAGGGCTAATCACGACGATGCTTTTCCCCCATAATGTACACAGGAGCACCTCGAAATTTCAGGGTGTAATTTTAATTCTGAAGTCGTTGATATGCAAAATGCTCGGAATGTTTCCTTAATATACTTTTTTTTGTCATGGACTTCTCCTATCCAGAGAATTTCTTGCTTATTCCACGTGAGTGGAGCGATGAATAGAAAATGATCGTAGGGCTGAAAGCCGTCTTGCGGATGATGTGTATTTTCTGGGAGCTTCTTGCCCTTTATTACATTTTAAACCTAACTGGTCCGGACTTTAGGGTGCGCTCATGTGGATGGTATTTATTTCTTCCGTCATCACTGAGAGTGTTGTTCCTTGCTGGAGTTTCTTTAGATTTTCAACATGAAAAAGTGATGAACAAGATACACCCTTCGAGATTCCGGCGCCATTTTTATTATTATCGTGCTTTAATTTCTCAGTGATTAGAACATGAACTGAGGAAAAAAAAGTTTAATCCTGAAGTGGCTTATTCTCTCATTTGTGCCAAGTTGCCCCTAAGGCAGGAATTGGCCCTCATTTTTGGAATTTGCCCTGCTATCCATTTTGCCTGATATCTGATGTCAATACTCAGAAACTTCACTGCATATTTCTTTGGGAATTGTTAGAGACACTTTCTTCCATGGGTCTTTATGCGATTTCATCGTTCCATGGCAAAAAACCAGTTCAGAAAAATTCTAAGGCAAATTACAGAGGAATGATGGCTATGTTTATGCTAATAATGATAGCTATGCTGAGAAAAAAATTTTTTTCTTAATCCTTAGGTTTAAAAATTCTTAAGGTTGGAGCTCAAAGCACAGAAAATTTTCTCAGGGAAAGAAGTGCTGTAAGGACACTGTCCTCGGGCCCTTTCTATAGGTAAGTGTCTTGGCAGAAAAAAAGACGCGAACGAATGCTGTGGTACAAGGCCGATACAAAGAGGGGGAGGCCTCGTCGAGAGAATATCTGGGAATAATCTGCCGACCCTCGAGGCAGACGACACCTGTGGGTGCGAAGTCAATGTTTTAAGGTGTTACTTCACCGCTTAGCCTGCCGTCGTGATGAAGCCACTGGCGTCGCGCATCCTTCGAGATGTCAAGTATGGCACACTCGTTCGGTATATCTCTTCTTACGCCCTAAGGGACTTGTAAATCTCATCTTGGTAGATTTGAGATGCAAGTGTGCGTCTCGGTTGGTGGCTCGCTTGCCTCCCGTGACGGAGGGACCCGGGTGAGGCGCTTATTTCCTCGGAGCTCTCGGAAAGGGATATTCACGTCTCTCGATGTAGGACGTTGAGGAACCCGGGTCGCGTATCACCAGCCAGATTCAGCCTCTTGGGTTTAGAGGTTATTCGTGTTTGATGACGTTACAGCGGGGAGGGTCAGCTGGTATTCCAGAGATGGGGCGCATTCGTGGCTCTGCGTCTAGTACCCCATCGTATATTATCGAACCCTCAGCGCCAAAATCAGATGTAACTTTTAGATCCATGGGCATGCAGTCACCATGCGAAATTTTGCCTAAAAGTATGCAACTCATAAACATGCTCCAGGCATTTACAAACACCATTTCACGGGGTTTTTTTTCAGCCTCCTGAATGTCGCTTGCTTAGTTTTGGCTCAGAGCAGTTGTTATCTAGTGAAAGTTGAACTATCCACGTATTGTCGAAAAAGAGACAGAATGGGAAGCAGGACACCCAAGAATAATTGTGTTCGCATAGGAACACGATTTGGTGGAACCCCGATAACCGCGAATCTTACTCGATGCGGTCGAGGCAGCAGATGGGGCAGAGAAGAAGGGGAAAGTAACCCATGTAGGTCCTGTCACTCTCGGTGGATACGTTGCTGTTGATCACTATATTATCCTTGAAATTCTGAAAATACCCAGATGAGTTTTTTTCTTCAAAACTGACCTTCCGGTCTCCATGAGCCTCTCGTTCTTCTCGTATTGTGGTGCCCTTGGAACTGTGATCCTCCTACTCACGATATATAGCCGCAAACTGAGGAACAGCATCACAAGGTCATCGACGATAGGCAGTGATTCGTTCTATCAATTCCGCTCTTGAAATGCTCATGGAGAGACTAGAATAGAAAACGAGAGGCAGACTACCCCTTCCAGTGCGAGGTTGCTGCATCTTCTCATATTTCCGATGTTGTGTTGAAAAGCTGGAATGATGCTTGAGTCGTTCCCGAGATGGATTGCTGAAGGTCCTGTCGTCATCCATCCGATGGAACACGGTACGACACCCACGCCGCGTCTGTGGATCTTTGAAATCATTCGAGTTAGCACCGTCTCCTCGATTGTCCTCAGGGCGGAGCAACACACTCATCGTTCTTCGCGCTGGGGGATCGTCTGGGTTGTTTTTTTTTTATGCACTCTCCATATCTGAAAAGTGGTTCCAAGAAAACCAGCTGCGGTTTCATAGAATTTGCTTGATTACCATGAAGAGTACATCCTGCCATTGACGGATCCGATGCAGACTCTCCCAATTTTTAATCTAAGATATCCTTGGGTGTGGCAGCTTGGTTTTCCTGGCGGGAAAAGAGGGAAGGAAGTGAAGTTTCCCACCTCTGACAAGGCGAAATGTAGAAGTTGGAGCCCGTTGGAGCATCTCGATTGCATCTGTCCACTAGCCTTGTCCCACCTGTCTGTCCGATCGATCCGACCCTGCATTCATTCTACTGTAAAGAATTGAGGAGTGAGGGGGCTTGGTCGACCGTTTTATACTGCGCCAGAGGAGTTTCTGTAAGCCTAGAATCATCAACGAATCAAATACTGTCGCCTTAAGAAGCCTCATTGTTGCTTCCATTTCCAAGCTCCCTTTGTTCCATATCCCTGTTTCTCAAAAACTGTCAGTAGATAACGTGAATTACATAGTGAAACGATTCTTTCATTCTTTGGAATACTTTAGTGGAAGATACCCATAATGAAATAGTGTATCGTTCGTAGAATAAAATTGAGACAGTAGTTGGAAGTGGAGTTGTCAGGCCGCATCGTCATCCCGCATTGCGTCACTGGGTATCCGAGATAAAAGGTAGATAACTTGGTCCGGTTACCGTTCCACTCGTACGATCTTATCGGGGGTTGAAACCCCCTCCGGGAGATGTCTCCACTCTCGAAGGACAGGCGCCCCGTCGGCATCGCGGCTCGCGGGATCTCGTCTTCGCGCCGACACGCGGCAGAATCCACGCTGTGACAGCAAGGAAAGTCTGTTGTCGGTGGAACCCGCGACGAACGTGCGGGAAACGCGGCGGCCACCGAACGGTTGCTGCGTTCCACCTTGAGTTCCAGTGTCGGGAGGTGGCCGACAGGGGGTGGGGACCGGTGGGGTTCATTCACTGGACTGGAAAGGACGCAGAAGATCTCGTCTTGAGAAGTCTCTCACTTTTTGGAGGGGATGATCCTCTTGCCCTCTGGGTCCCGTCCTGGAGCTTGGGGCTTCATCCCACGATATCCCACGCCATACCTCCTTTTCCCTCGTACAGTGTATATTTCTTATAACTTATATTTCCGCTAAAAATGCGACTTTTTTTTAACGAAAAACTCACATGAGGCCTATCCGAGACTTTATAGGAAGTCAAAATAGCCAAATAGCCAAAAATATTTGAAAAGTTAGCATTGCAATTTAAAAAAAATTGCAGGGTCAAGAAATAGTAAAAATGACATGACTTTGGAAACTTTTTGCAATTTACCGGCAGGTTCTGAATGGCAGGCGGACGCAACGAGCACTTCGTATTTGTGCTTGCAAGACAGCTTCACCCGCGTTGTTTTCGCTTCGTCATTGGTTTTCTCGTTTGGAGCATTGACTTTATTTTGGTGGCCTGCAGGTAGAAGGAGGAGGGGATGTTAAGGAGATTTAAGGAAGCAAGAGAAGAGGGCTGATGAACTCATGCGGGAGGTAAAGGGACTTCCAAATGAAAGGCGGTGAAAATCACTGGGGGGGTTCTGCTGGCTGGAAACTATTTCCAAGGCAAATCGAGGAAGACCCCATTCAAACTTTGTTTTTATCTTTCTTTCGAACCGCAATCGTGCAAGGGCAGACAGACGAGATCTGTCAGCCGACCGTTTTCAAACGTGATATATAGTGAGCCATAAATGTCACGTCGAGATTGGGAAGCTTGAAATAGCTGGAAAGTTTTCATCTTCAGCGCCCATAGCTTTAATAACTCATGATGAGAAAATTGTTCTATTCAATTATGTTTTAAATATGGAAATTCCTTTTTTATTATTCACATAACATGTTTTGATATACTGCCATCCGAAAGCAGGGGCGGCGAAACAGAGAGGTGAGGGGGGCGGCAAGGTGCCATGACCCCCCACATTTCCGACATGAATTGTTTGTCCTACTCACCCTTCAAAACATAACTGCTTGCTGTATAGGGTCTTTCTGGTATGTTTTGCACGATGCACAGATAGCAATGAAACACGATATGACTATAATGCACGGTGAGAAGTCTTAATCTAGAATTCAGATAGAAAAATTAAGAGCGGGCAAGAGAGAGGGAAGGGATGAGGTAGCTTCGCTATTGTCCCCCACCCCCCCCCCCCCCCTTTTACTCATTTCTTAAAGTGTTTCTCCGTCACTGTCAGAAAGTCAGAAGTTTTGGTATCCTCTGGTGACCTGGCTCCCCTTATCATATTCGGTCCTAGAATGTAAATATTCCCCTGATATGGTGTGCCTGGTGCTTTCAGCAACCTTACACCTTGGAAAGCGGAATGTTGTAACATTGTTGGGACTCCTTAGGACAGCTTTCATGCTCGCACCTACCATTTTCTGTGAATTTCTTTGGAATGGAAAATATTGATTAGAAATGCAGATTTCACACGGATCGGCATCTGGATCCATGTCATCTGCACCTCCTGCATCTGATCGACCCATCTGCCAATCTGCCATAGAAACAGGCGTCTTCCGACAAAATGTTAAGTCACACATGTTGACAGTCCGATTGTCGATTACCAATTATGTCGCATTCCTGAGCTTCGAAAGAATGAAAGTCAAAAAGTCAAAAGGTAAGTCAAAACAGTGTAAGTCGAAAAGTCGAATGAGAGTTACGTGGAAACGAACTTTTCTTTCCTCTGTTGACGAAGTCTCCAAAACGATATGACTTTATCAAAGTATCACCATCACGAATCTTCTCTCACAACGTCAGAGCCATTAGATGTACGACCATGATGCACCTTCAGTGGTTCTTTTATCGGTTCGTCGTTTAGGGACAGTAGGACTCGTGCATGGCGACTGCGGTTCTGACGCCTCCAATGCACGCTCGCCTTCGTGCACAATTCACGAGAGAATAAAATATCTATGCACGACCAACATACTGCCACCCTTCTGAGAATGTACGTATTGCATGTTGGTCGTGATTACTGCCCTAACTCGACTGACGGATTTGAGTGGCGGTGCGTTTGTTACTGATGTAATCATACCCACCAACCCTGGGCGATGCAGACAGGTGATCGGCTTACAAGACAATCTTGAATGCCCCAAGGGTTAAGACGAAATCTCTTCTCGATTATATCAGGACCACAAGGAACAGGATGCCCAGGAGCTTATTCAGGTGTAGACATCCTGATAGTTTCACGTTTTCCCACGTTTTGACGCGTTCAGGATTGTAACAATCGACATTATGCCCCTACGACGATCGTGCATACAATATTGCGTGGCTTCCGACTTTAATGCTAGTCGACATAACTCTGACGACATTCTGGCTCTCAACACCATTATCGAACCAAAAACAGGGCGGCCCTAAAGTGAGTTTCCCCTTTTTTTTATCCTCGCAGATTGAACGCGTTTTAAGTCGTTAACAATGGTGGAGAACTCAATTGTACAATCAGGAAACCATCGATTCAAGTTGTGTTGCGCGGGCTACGCTGTGTTTGCAAACATTAGTTTCAGCTACTGGTTTATGGGTCACTCTGTGTATGGATAAATAGTAGTGGTCAATGAGGCCATCCCGTCCCACCTAAAATCAAGGCGCCCTTTCTGGACTGCCGCGAGAATCCCGCACGATCTGGGGTCGAGCGCGGAAGAACGCTGGCGAGAAGCCTGGTCTCACGTGGACGTAAAAAATAAGAACCTCATCGACGATCCATCAGCCGAGGTACCAGGTGTCACACGCCGCGAATGGGTGACCTTAAATCGCATCCAGACTCTTCA